GACTGTTCAGCGCTGCCTCTCATGTGCTTGATGAGAAGAGGAACAGACTTATGGCTGATGAAGCAGAGAAGCTACTGTTCATTAAAAATAACCTCCCACTTTTTAAATTTCATTTGTAAATAGTTACATTCATGTGGATTTATCCAGTTTGCACATTTGTATGCATGCACTTATAGGTGCATTTGTTGTTGTTGAAGGCCTGGCTGTTAGTCTTTATTTACACTATTTTGTTGTAGGCCTACTGGCCTAGATGTTTATGCAGTTTTAAAGCACCTTGGCTTTGTTCTGAATGCACTTTGTTGTAGTTATCCTACAGAGAAAAGAAAATGCACTTGACTTGGAATTAATGTACTGTATGCATTCAAAAGTGCTGAATAAATGTTTTATGTACCCATACTGTAATAGTGATTATTATTTAAGTTAAGTTTTGCCATAATCGTTTATTTTTCCATAATCAGGCAGCTGAACAACATTGGTAAAAAATGTATACATTATATATATATATTTCTATTAATCATTTTCGGCCTTTCGGCATTCGGTTTTCGGCCAACTGTTTCCTATTTTCGGTATCGGTTTCGGCCAAGAATTTCCCATTCGGTGCACCCCTAATAATAACAGGAATGTGTGTGTCCTCAGGTGGTGTTCAACGTGAACAACGGGGCGGGGCGAGTGTCGGTGCGTTCGATTGGCCCCTTGCTGTGTGACGGGCTCTGGCACCACCTGGTGGCGAAGAAGACCAAACACAGCCTGAGTCTGAGCGTTGATGGGAGGAGCTATTCCACCCCCAACCCTTACCCACAATCCACCTCTGCTGAGACCAACAACCCTGTCTACCTGGGCGGATTCCCAGGTGAGAGATCTGTCCATTCAGTTACAGGTGAACCAAACATGACGACCTGTCAAAGACTCACACTAACCTGTCTGTCTCTCCTGTCTCTCTCCATCTGTCTGACTCCACCTGTCTCCCCCTCAACTGTCTGTCTCTCAGTGGGTGTGAAGCAGAACTGCCTGTCTGTCAGCTCCAGGTTCTCAGGCTGTCTGAGGAAGCTTCATCTCATTAAGTCTCACCTGAATGACGCTCTGGAGTTAAGCTCCGCCCACTTCCTGTTGGGCGTGATTCCTAACTCCTGTCCTGTTGCTAAGCAACATGTAGCTCAGCTCTGATTGGCCGGCGGACACAACAGTTTTGTTTAATGAATTGGCCTTTCCTAATTCCCGCCCCTTTCCACTCTTTTGTCCAATCAAAAGCTTATTTTTTACTTGTACTTCCTACCTTGTGCTACGTCTGGTTGGAGCCAGCTAGCATAAAGCTAACGCTACATGAAGAAGAGTTAGCACGATTAACGTCTATTATTGTGGGAAAGTTTGAGATCTGAGAACATGAATAAAAGATTAATTAAAGTTAACCAGAAAACATAATTGAATCTGTACTTCTGTGATAAACGACGTTTATATATCATTGTTGATGAAGGCTGTTAAATGATGCTGTCCTCCCTCCCTCTGTAACTCTGTTTCTTCATCAAACAATAAAATACATTCAGACAGGAAGTCCAGTTTAATCGTTTTATTTCAGTTCAGCGGTGAAAAATCCCTCGGGGAGTGTGCAGAGCGGAGCGTAATCTGTACGATGTTAGACCGGGGTTAGCCCGGGGTTAGCCCGGTGTTAGCCCGAAGTTAGCCCGGTGTTAACCCGGGGTTAGCCTGGTGTTAGCCTGGTGTATGATAGCCCAATGATAATGATGTTAGCTCGATGATTACAATGTTTCTCCCGCACCGATCAGATTTTAGATTTATATGGCGACTTCAGCGCAGAGTGGTGTTCATTTAAGTTTAAATATGTAAAATCTACATAAATGTAGCTTATCTTGAACTCTCTATGCTAACACAAGTCTACGTTGTTTATCTGAGGCTCTTTTCTTCAGAGACTAGCTAGCCAACATCGTACAATTTACATCATACAGTTTAAGCTCAGCTTTACGTTGTCGGGTTGGGATTACAACACAGATCAATAATAAATAAACACATAAATCAACATCACTGTGAATAAATAATAACAGGGTTTCCATGGTGAGAAGAATGGCACATTACTATTGCATTGTGGGTAAATACAGAGTTTAAGCTGCTATACAGTTAGCTGCTACAGTGCTAGCAAACATGCTATCTTACAGGTAACAGTTTGCATCAGATGTCCGAATAAAGTTCCACTTCCTGTTACTAATGTTGGAGCTGTACAGTCGACAGAAATATAAATATGAATTCTACCTCCTGTTTATCATCCAGGTAAAGCTGGTGCAGATGATGCTAGGCTAACATGTGATGCTATGCTAACATGATTAGGATCAGCGACTCAGAAATCAGAAAATATGATGAAGACTTTTATTAAAAGACTACTGAAGTTTAATATGGAGCACCTTGAGTCTACCAACCAATTAGATGTGAGGGGGCGGGGCCTGGAGTTCACTTTGAGAGTTCAACTGAGGTCGACCGACTTGTGCGTGTGTCTCTGTGTGTGTGTGTGTGTGTCTGTGTGTGTGTGTGTGTGTGTGTGTGTGTGTGTGTGTCCACTGCTCCCATGATCCTGCAGTCTTGTAGCTTCAGTCCTGAAAGACAGACAGGTGCAGCAGTGAGACAGGAGTCTCGTCGACCAATCAGAACCCTGCGTTTGTTTCCCTCTCGGGCATTGAACGAAAGGATATAAAGCCGCCCCACAATCCCTTGCAGCAACATTTACCGTTAACGAACAAGCTAGCCAGTGAGTGGCATGCTAATTAGCATAGCAATTTCAAAGCTTGACTATTAGTTGAGCATAGCATGCTAATATTCGCATGCTAATATTAGCATCGCATGCTGGTGTCCCCACTGATCTTCACTGTATTGTTTACTTCCTCTTCAGACTACAGTTTCCTGTCCTAAACGTTTCAACCAATTAGATCTTTCCCTGGATCCTCCAGGTGTTTTTCCAGGTGAAAGTGCAAACAGCCATGCAGCAGCAGCCAATCAGCATCCAGCACGGGGCTGCACCTGTTACCTGTGATGTCACTAATCGGTCACATGATCAGGAGAAACCTCGGTCTCTTTGTGGACGACGACTCGAGTGACGGAAAGTTCAGGATGTTGGCGTCGCGCCTCAGAGAGAGCGGCCTCCAGAGCCTTAGAGAGGGTTAGATAACCCAGGTTAGTTAACCTGGGTTGGACCGGGTCAGAGCCTTAAGGCACGGACACACCAGGCCGATTAGTCGAAAAAAGGCGACTTTGGGCAGTCGGCCAAAGAAATCACTCTGATTGGCTGTTCAGCTAGCGAATCAGTGCATGAGAAGAGAAACGGAAGTGAGGGACCCAAATAAACTATTAAGAAGGCAAATCTGAGATTTCATTGAACTCCAGCTCTGGACTCAGGTTGGGGGAAAGCCCCGTGAGTTCCTGCTG